TAAAAATGAAAGAAAAGATGCATAGGGGGTAGCAACGGTTTGGTTCACACCTGATCGAATTGAGCAAAATCAACATTTGGAGCAGTCCGAACATGATCTGAAACAGTCCTCGATCTAATTAATTTGTGAATTTTTTAAAAAAGGCAATAAATTGATACATAGAACGAACCAAATCGGACTAAAAAAACTAATAATTCGATTCTGACTCTTAAATTTTCCATTTTTGAACTATGAATATCAGTTTGCACCGTTGCACACTCGAAAGATACCTAAATATTGAGTTAGGTAATGTTGTCCTGACCGGGTTATAAGCTAGTACTAATCTACACATAATATAATACACCGAAGGGAAAAACGGGAGCCCCATTTCAAATTTCCTGCAACGAGAGTGAAAGTAGGAAGGACATTTTGGTCTTCACAATTACTTTTTTTTATTCGTTAAAAAGATACGTACTGGGATTCGAACCGTGAACATTTTAAAGATGGGCAATGATCATAACCAATCACACTAAGTACATTTGTTGTATCCTTTTAAATTAAAAACATATAATCTACACATAATATAATACACCGAAGGGAAAAACGGGAGCCCCATTTCAAATTTCCTGCAACGAGAGTGAAAGTAGGAAGGACATTTTGGTCTTCACAATTACTTTTTTTTATTCGTTAAAAAGATACGTACTGGGATTCGAACCGTGAACATTTTAAAGATGGGCAATGATCATAACCAATCACACTAAGTACATTTGTTGTATCCTTTTAAATTAAAAACATATAATAGCAGGGTGGAAAAAACTCTTCCCCCATTTCAAATTCCCTGCTCGAGGAGCGTTTGTAGAAAGGGTAGAATAGGGAGTGTCAATTTTTTTCTCTATCCTCTGTGGAACGGGCCAACTTACCGTACACATGCGGATTCAAACGGGTCCAGGAGTGTCAATTTTTTTCTTTATACCCTTTTATTTCTCCGTGGTGATAAAACATATATGAAAAGGCAAAAATAATACTCTTTTTTATTGTTAAAAATAAAAAATTTAACACTAAACTAATACATGGTATCTAATAGGCTAACCGCTAACCATAAATAAAAGAGTTGAATGTGTCTGACCTACATGGGAGTTGGCCATCAAGTAAAACAAATGAACATCATTGGTTTGCCATTCTAAAACAAGCTATTTTCTCTGGCGTAATATATATTATGTTATTATTTTATATCTTAGTGGCTAAAATATAATGTATTTTAAAGTTATTCAATGGTTCAACCTCGACAAACCCAATTAGTCCAATTTTTATCATTTCAAATATATATATTTTATACTTATTTGACATCATAATGATCAAATTATAGTGTATTTTATAGGGAATCGTTTGGTATTTGTTAGTAAAAAACTAAACATAAAGATCTATTTGGTTATTTTAAACATTAAAACGATCCTAAACATTTTCAGTTCCTTTTGAATTTCTATAGTTTTATTCCCAAATAAGTGATGTACAAATGGCGAATTGTAGTCGTCTCTTTTCTTTCACTATTTTTTTATTTTCAAATAGAAAGTTTAAAAGTAAAGAATAGTTAGAATTTGGCATGGGTCGGTCAAACATACTGAATTTCAAGTTTTGGCCAGTTTGTTTTATGCATTGCAAATTTATTAGCATGTTGATGGAAATGGCTTGGAAAAAAGACATATAAGTTGTACCTTTTCAGAAAAGTCCGTAAATGTTTGAATGCTTTGTGAATCAGGTTCCATGACTTTTGTGATGGTGTATGTGCTTGATGATTGCTCGATGTTGTAACTACTTAATTTGAGAGTAAATCTTTTGATTTTCCCTATGAGTTGTGATACCAGTTCTGGTGGTTGCAGCATGTTGTCGTTGTTGGCCTGTAAAAGTTGTTCCGCCGTGATGCTAAATACCTTTTTTTTTTTTGACAAATTGTGTAGTAGTGCTATGAAACAGACCACCCATGAACGCTACACTTATTATGGTCTGTTCTTACTTCCGGTGGTGAGAAATTGTGAATTGAGAATCATATTTGCCTACCGCACTGTGTCTGGCTGGTGGCTGCTTACTATGCTCTCTAGAGTTATGAAACAGACTAACCATGAACGTTACCCTTAAGAGTCCATAACTTTGCGAAAAACCAAATTTAGGCAATCAAAGGTGGTGGACGTGTGATGATTTTTTATTGCTTAATTGTTTGTGAATTGGATATCTGATCTTTGTAAGATTAGAGGGGATGTTTGCTTAATAGAATAATCCATTTTAATTCATGTTTATTTTTAACATGAACTTTAGTAACTCAAAACCTTCGATACACATATCACCTATTGCATTGTATCATTTTGCCTGGGTGCTTACTGTGTTGTCAAACTTCTTTGCTGCTGCTGCATTTACACTAACAGGGGAGTTAAGAACCCATGAATGTTTCCGTTTGACACAAACAAGATGACTTACTTCTAATCGTGCACTAAAGATGATTGGAGGAAACATATTTGTTGCAGTTGATATACTCGAGACCATAACAAAAGCAACGTATAACATCAAAACCAACCATCTAAACTAGTAGCATTGTTGCTTTACTCTTTTTTCGTGGTTGAGTCTCCTTCAAAAAAATTAGTTTGATTTTAGAAAATTTTGCTTCTGCAGTCCTGTCTTGCCACCAACGCGTTCAGTAGATGGAGATGGCAGAGGCGAAGGCTATTTTTGTGTTGTTGTTGCTGGTTTAGGGATCGGTTTGTGAAGAAGAGGGAGAAGAGAGGGGGAAAGGGAAATGCAGGAGAGAGCGATAACTCTTTTCTCCGACAAAAATGGAGTGAAGAAAGGAATTATGATCAGTAAGGATATGGTTATCTTACATAACGGTCTCTATTCTGTTTGAATTGAGCTTGGCAGTGATAAGGACGAGCTGCAACCAATTCATAGTGATAAGAGTGCTATGAACTGTGATCATGTCTTATTTCAAGTTAGAAGGTATTTTCAGTATAAGGATTATTTAATTTGACAAGTTGTTTCGTCCATGATTCTTGGTAGTTTCAGTGCCATTCTAGCCATTGTTTAGTCTGTAATTTTTGAGAATTGATGTGCGAGTAATGACTTTCACTTAGCTTCAACTATTATGTGTGTATTTATTGGCATGTGATAGAATTCTCTTTTCCTTTCCTTTGAATTCAGTTTCATACTCTAATTGTATCATTTGTACATAGGCAAATCATGTTCGAGATGACAACTCGCTGATATGGCTGGTGCAAGGAATGAAGCCATCATTAGAATTCAGACCGACAACGGGGAGGGATGCCCAGGACTAATTCAATGATGATTGATGATGGTATAATAAAAACTGCAGTCTGCATCAGCACCAATTTCTAGGCCTAAGTAAAAGTTATTCAACCCAGAACTCTGCTTAGCGCTAAAAATTGCCCTCACCCAACCTTGATCTTGTTTGACCTACTTCTAAAGAGTCAAGATATATGACTAATTCTCTCCGTTCGTATTTTCTTATTGACTCTTTCTGACCCTTTAGGTTGGGGCGGGTCGGGAAGAATCGGATTAGTGGGTCGGTCCTAATCAAGTGGAATCTCAATCCCTTCACTCTCACTTGCTTTCTCTCCCATTCCACAAGTGGGTAACATACAGTAATCCGGCCAACGGGCCGGGTAATAAGCTAGTAATAGTAATATAGCCGCCAAGAACTATTATGCATCAGATCTCCCTCTAAATTTTTTGGTATTCTATTCTTTAAACTCTTATGTACATTTCGGAGACATATTTATATGTCGTTTGCTCTCTACATATGATATGACGGACCCAGAAATTTTACATAGGGGTGTTATTTTTCAAAAAATAAAGTAAAATAAATAATTAATAATTAATAAAAATTATATTATTCTTAAATAAGAAAATACCAAACTCTTACAAGTTAAAATAAATCAATGATGTATTTTCATATTCTAAAAAATTTATAAAATACATGTGGTTCTACACTGCTCAATAAATTTGTCTCTGTATATCCTACTAGACAGTCATTCACGAACTGACGCATATTTGACTTTTAAATTTGTTCATGATGTAACTCAAAGCTGAAAAAACACTTTCAGCACTTGTCGTACAACCATAAAATCAATACAAATTAAGGGTAGCTTGTAATTAAATTAATTGTTAGGTTTTGAAAATAATTAAAGACAGAGAATAGGGTTTTGCTACTACACCATATTTAGAATATAACAACAAAAAAGTTGTAGCCTAATGGAAATTATAATTATTAGTAATGGTAGTGTCCCGGGTTTGAATTACCCAAACTACCACTTATATTCTCATACGCAAACTATACGCAAACTACAAACAAGAGTAGTATAACCGTTCTTTCAAATTTCAGAGTGTTCCAGACTATTAATTATAATTTTTTGCCATACGTAAATTACAACCGGGGTTGAATAATCGATCTACCTAAATTCCGCTGGGTCGGCTCCTGTTGCTATTTACAAGATAATCCCTATAATTAACAATCCCATTGTAACCTTCCTCGTAAGCATTGATCGTGTAGAAAAAAAGTAAACTAGACCGAACTCCATGATGAACATATTCTTTGTCTATGAATTCGACAACTCGGACGGCTTCGTCTTTATTCTTTTGCTCATATCAACGACTGTTGCAGAGGCAAATGGCTGCACTACACTGCCCAATCATCTTCTTTGTTTCCTTCCTGCTTGGAGCCCTCAAATCGTGAAGCAAATTGCACTTCTATATTTCATTTATCAGAGAGAGTCACTCTCATCTATTATAATCTAATCCTTTTTCATATGCATGATTTAGTCCAAGCAAGAATTGGTTTATATGTCCGACTCTCCAATATCTTGCTCGGTCCGACAACAAGAACTTGGTTGGTTACAACAAGAAGCTGACGTAAGCCATCAAATATTTTATTTTAAAAGCGGGCAATGACAGTACAAATAGCAGCCTGCCAGCCTCGCCATCATTGCTATTTCCATTTGGTAATTCAGAAGCAAGCCATGGCCAAAGCTCTCTTAACGATCTCTTCCACTTTCCTCTTTCTCCTCCTCGCCGCCACAATCAGGGCGGCGACCGAACCAAATGCCGGCGACGGTTACTCCCAGCTGCTGTCGCCGGCGAAACTCCGCCTCAGGAAAGAGAAGCTCAGCCACCTCCACTTCTACTTTCACGACATCCTGAGTGGGCCCAACCCCACGGCCGTGCCAATCGTCCGGCCCACTACCAACTCGTCAACGTCCTTCGGCTTGGTCAACATGTTCGATGACCTGCTGACAGTCGGGCTAGAGCCCAGTTCCAAGATCGTGGGCCGGGCCCAGGGGTTCTATGGGTTCGCCTCCCACAGCGAATTTGCGGCCTTGATGGCTCAAAACTTCGTTTTCATGGGAGGGAGGTTCAACGGGAGCACGCTCACCGTGATGGGGAGGAACGCGGTGTTGTCGCCGGTTAGGGAGTTGCCGGTGATCGGCGGGACCGGGGCTTTCAGGTTTGCTAGGGGTTATGCTAAAGCCAGGACCCGGGTTTCAGACTTGACCAATGGAGATGTTGTCGTGGAGTACAACATTTATGTCTATCATTATTGAGAAGTTCCACATCCGTCGTCGGCATTGTTAAATTCCATTCCTCATTCTAATTTAAATTGATATGTCTTGTTCTACCAAAAAAAGAAAAATATATATATTATATGTCTTTTGTGTTCGTTATTCCTCGGTTTGAGTCATTTTTAATAAAATTTAAGGTTAATTTCTTCGTATGCTTCGAGCTTTACTCTTCTTTAACATATTGACCAATCCTTTCACTAATTAATATCGTGGCCAAAATTATTACAAAACTGTACTTATTTGGCCAAAGCCGAGTGTTGACTAACAATCAACGCACCGTGCCAGTGTCAAATCATCATACAAAATATTAAAAAATAAAATTTGACTATTTTTTCCTAGGTGTACCACTCTATGTCACCTTCGTTTTTACTAAAATTTTGAAAACTTTTGCACAGAAGGAACGGCATCATAGTGGTTAATAAAATTAGATGTATTTCTGGAAAATAAAATTAAGGACCAAATATACCACCATATATCGTGGTGGTGAAAGATAGTAGATGATGGTCAATATATTTCTATTATATATCTCCTCATTCGTTGGCACTCATTTAGTGTCACATTAGTAAAATCTCACTCATTAATATTAATCATTTTATAATAAAATGAGGTAAATACAATGTAATAACCAAACTTTTCCGTTTAAATAAAATAATAGTAAACTCTTTCAAAAAACAATATAATAGCCAAATCGTCAACTTCCCGTCCGGTCAAAAGTCAATGAACTCTGAGCTGGAAAACTATGTTGCCATGGAAGCTGACGTAGAATCATGGGTGATGCTCTTTGACATGTCAGCAAAAATATAGGTACAAAACAATAATAGCAAAACCTTTTATCTCGTGCAAAAATCAGGCATAACAAAGAGGTCAGCATTAGCATAAATCTTTATCTGCGAGTGGTGTAGTGAAAATGATCATTAAAGATTAGATTGTGGGATCATAAGCGACTAAATTTGCAAATGTCAACTATGTTTGTTTATGTAGAATAAGGGATAAAATCGTATGGTGCCCTAGGGCCATATTCCTCGAGTATTGATACTACTCGAAGAACAAGAAAGTTGGGATATCATACGATTAATTGTGGACTTCTACGAACTATAATTATAGTTTATAGCATCGATAATCTAACAATCAAGTATTGATACTACTCGAAGCATATATAGATGGTTGACCATTCCCTCTATACTCGTGTAGCATACACTTGGTGCTTATTATTATTAAACTACAAGCCTATAACTCATTTGTTGTTCGATTTTAAATACTGTTTTCTAGTAAAATGCCATTCTCTATCTCTAATTATTTTCAAAACCTAACAATTAAACAAATTCAAACCTAGGACACTATTATTATTATTATTAGGAAGTAAAAAAGAAAACAAAAATTCAAAAAAAAAAAAAAATCACTGCTCACCCGACGTGGCAAGTGAGCTGGATCTTGAGTAATGGTCAACTCGGTTGACCGTTCAATTTGACGGTCAAATCTGCCTCCAGGCCAAATAAGGAAGTATGCCACATGGTTCAGGCCAGAAGAGCAATTTCTGATACCACCGGCCAAAGTAGAAAGTTTGTCTATAGTTCGGGCCAAACTAAGGTATTATTAACCCTAAAATTAGTGTCTTAGGTTTGAATTACCCAAACTGTCACTTATATTCTCATATGCAAACTAAAAGATTAGAGTAGGATAATCATTTTTTCAAATTTCAGAGGTGTCCCCGACTATCAATTATAATTTTTTTTTTTTGTTCATACATAAATTACCACCGGGGTTGGATAATCGTTTTCCCAATATTTAGGGGTGTCCCGTGACACCCCAAACACTCGTGGGTCCGCCCCTGGTATCAGAGTCTAGTATAAAATTAAGGACGTTGGATAAAAGGGGGAGTGATATAATAACATAATAATGATGGTTGTGGGGAGACCCACTTATATATATTGGACGTAGTAAGTAAAAAGTAGAAGTTTAAAATTAATTAGGACATTTATTTTAATACTAAAACGAGAATGGATGGATCGGAGGAAAGATATATCAGTTGTAGGTAGGTAGGTGGTTGTGATGAAGGGGATGGACCGAGTTGATCAGCATTGGTACGGTGCAATATATATGACGATGGAGAGTTAAACGCTGTACAACTTAACTTCCCTTTTGGAGCTTTAAATGACTCAAGAAATCGCGAAATCTCTCTCCGGGCAACACGAAAACCAATCATAAGGAAGAGGTCAAGGCACTTGAGGATGAATTGTCCGATTCAGCCGTCATCCAAGACACGGAAAAGGAAAGGACTCAAAGGTGTCAAAGTTGAAAGCTAAAGTGGACGTTACCCACTAGACCAAAAATGATGACCCAGCCAAAAATATTTGCTAAGAGAGATAAGAGGTGGGTTAATCCAGTGCTTAAAATTTTCTCTCTACTTGCTAAGAGCTTCCAAATCGTATTTTGGGGAAAGAAGAACGTGGAGAAGGAAATTCCTAACGTAGCAACCATCACAAACGTGAGCGAGGAATCGTGAACAACTAGAATCCTTACAAGGACAACTCTACATCCCCTCACCACGACAAGAATACTCATAACCCCCATGAAGACTCCTGCAAACACCTTCTACATAAAGAAGAAGGCGGAGAGGAATTACATGCCTCCTAAGGACAAAAAAATAATCTTTTTAACCGGGGATTACCACTCCTAAGCGTAAACCTAGAATTTTTTTCAAGAAGAGAGTCAAGTCTGCCATGGAGGTCGAGGGGAGAACCAGTCCTTTTTCAACCCTCCTATAGGTGGCTCTAGTTTTTCTGGACAAAGTATAATGAATGAGTTTATTTAAGCCTTAGGAAGGGAAGAAGTGTTCATACCCACATTGAAAGCCCTTATGGGAATATCTTATCCCTTAATAGTAATAAGGCGACTTCTTAAGCAAGATCGCGAGCTATCCAGATGACGAAATAAACTGGACTAGACCGGGCTTTGAGGATGAAAAGTAGTTTAGTGAATTTAGATATAAATGTAGATCGAAATATATGACTATCAATTTCTATTGAACTTTTTCTTATATTATCTCATTATAAACATTTTTTGGTATTCTAAACATGGCACTATCGATCGATGATTAATTCTACTCGCAAATGATCTTTATATCGCCCGAACAGGTTAAATTAGTCTCCTTTTGTAAGCATTCTTGTTCTTTTCTGGCGAACTAGATCATTATTTTTGACAACTCTTTTTGCCTTGTCATTTATAACGTTAGTTCTGACAGAGTATAACTGAAGAACATAAGTTTTCAACATTAGAACGTACTATGTCTTACACTTTTTTTTCCGTTGAATTTCTTACACTTTTTGTCTCTGTTAAAAGTATTATTTTTTATTAACCGGTCTTATTTTTCTGATGAGTTAGCTCTTCAGTTATCAATGACGAAACTAGATCTTCCTCAGGAAAAACTCATTATTTCTTGCGAGTTTTAGGATTGTTAGAAATATATTTTTTCTGTAACCGTTTTCATATTTTCCAGATAAAGTAGTACAAGACTTCTGACAAATATATTAGCCCTATCATTAATAACATTGTTTCTGACAGATTATTAACGACAGGCATGGGTTATCATTAGTACAAACTGAATATTTCTGATGATTGTTTTGGATGCCTCAGAAATATGATTTTACTAACAATTCAATTTCGACGTCAGCGAGAGCTCGTCGTAACAATTTTTGTTCCCGTTGGAGACGTTTTAAATGTCACAAACAATAATTTGTTGTGAGAACAAAAATAATTTCCGTCACTAATATTGACATATTCTGACACCCAAAGAAATTCATCAATAATATGCACTATTTGAAACATTTTTTTTTTATCATTATTATAGGTTAGGATATAGTCTTATACCACAAAGTCGGTTTAATTTATTCTTTGGATGTAGATATCTCATTAGGAGTGCACAAAATGTCGTACATTTCAAGAGTATAGCAGTTTGAGCTATATTGTAATAGAAATGGCGATGAATTTAAGAAGCACCCAGGTATTGCATCTTTAGTCACGTATGGGAATGGGAAGATATAGATGAATTTGCACGAGTTGGGCTGAGGAAATTAATATAAAATTAAGGACGTTGGACAAAAGGGAAAGTGATAACAACATAATAATGATGGTTGTGGGGAGACCCACTTATATATATATATATTGGACGTAGGTACGTAGTAAAAAGTAGAAGCTTAAAATTAATTATTAGGACATTTATTTTTGATTTAGAAGGAGAATGGATGGATCGGAGGAAAGATATATTAATATTAGTTGTAGATAGGTAGGTTGTGTCTGTCTTCTCCCACTCTACTTGCTTGAAACTGCTTGGTTGGTGAACGTGATGAAGGGGATGGACCGATCGAGTTGATCAGCATATGATATGACGGAGTTAAACGCTGTACAAAGAGCGAGACAATGAAATAGAAGAACATTGATTAATAATAATCTATGGAATTGAAGGAGGGGAAGAAATTGAGATGCAATATACGCACCCTTTGCAGGCGGTTTCCATGTTCAGGGTGCACTGCTGTTCAAGTTTGTCGACGTGGGGTTTGTCAAGCTGAGACATGAAAGTGCGAGAGCAGGAACAGGCGTTTTTCAGGTCCTTGTTCTTGTAGTCCCTGAGGCCTGAGCAGCACTTGTCAGAAGGGACGCTCTTGTCAGCCGGCTGGGAGATAAAGTCGTAGCAGCTGACTGCTGCTGCTTTATAGTCGGCGCATGAATCTTGATTAGCTGTGGCCGGTCGGGCGGCGTTGCTGCGGCTGGCCTGCAGGCAAATCACGACGGTGACAATAAGAAGCAACACACGGGAGAAGGTGATGATGGTATTCTTCATTATGGCCTGCTAGCAAGGTAAGATAGATCCCCCACAACAACACTACTACTCAATCGATCCCCGTTTAATTTCGACGGAGAAAGAATATTGGGCGTGGTTGTGTTCAGTGTTGTGTGGGTGAAGAACAATTGGGTGCAGCGAATGCGTTTATATACTTACTAAGTGCCCATCGGATCTGATTACCCAATGCAATGCATCATTCTTTAATTAATTAATTCTATTCATATTTAATTATCACAAGATAGATTGCTAGTTGGTTAGTTACCCATGCTACCTTTCTTCTCTCCTCTCCGACCCTCTTCAGATGCTTCCAAGACAAACGTAATCAACATTCATCCTACCTACCTTGCTTCTGCCTTCCAATCAAACAAAATGTGGCATATCCATCTTAACTTCCCCACTAAATACAAAACCTAGTATATTAATATAATAGGCAAACACAATTACCACAACCCCAACTCTGTAAAGCTGTCTCCTTTCTAGTATAAACTTATTCAAATGATAATCTTGCCACAATGTTTCGTCTCCGTTAAGCTTGCCAATTTGGCTAAGTAACATACTAGGACGCTCAATTTAAGACCTAATAATCGCACGTTGGACAATTTACTAGCTAGATATTAACATAGGAAAAGTTATATGATTGCACCAAATAGATATGAATTACGCCGAAAATGTGGAAGAAAATATATCAATTTTCATGTTTCCTTATACTGTTGAAGTTGTTTGGTGTCAACGGACTACACATCGATGTATGATACATTCCGAATCATACATTTTTTCACTCCCCAACTTATGTTCATTTTTGTTTTAATTTCAGCAATATTTCTATGTTTTTGCTAGTTTTATTCTTAGTTTGGAATTTTAGTGCGTTTCAGGTCACTATAATTGAATTTGATGATATTTGGACAAAAAAAGTGCACTAAGGATTGGAATTAAGGACTTTGGAACAATTTAGATATCATTCGGCCGGCAAACGAATTTTATTTTACTTGCACGACATGGCTTAAACCACGACCATGATGGATGGTATGCAAAAGAAGCAAAGATCCCTCCAAAAAGTAAAGAAATAAATAAAATTAATAATTTTCGAGTGGAACACTACCATTACAAAAATATATATATATATATATATATCATTAATGACGACATTTTTTAAACCCCAAAAGAAAATTTGGGTCAGATATGTATTTTACCAACGACATATGTTTGTTGGCCATTGTTAAGAATTGTCTCATCCCTAATGACCTGTTATAGATGCCCTGTCAACAATATTCCTATTACCTACGCGCATTTATCATCAATACACTAATTACCACAACTAAATACAAAACCTAGTAGTTGGAGGGATTCTGCTTCTGAAACTTTCGGAGAGACGATTTTTCTGCTTTCCAGCGCTTCTAGCTAGGGTTTACGTATGCATGGCGACGGCGGCTCGGTCGCCTCCGGGGGGAGGTGGTAATCCTTCCTTGGAGCCGGATGGCATTGCCGGCACTTGACGACCGCCGAGTGAGACTTCTTCGCCTAGTGCAAAAGGAGAGAAAGAAACGCAACAGGCTAAGAAGAAGGTTAAAGCTTCGGATGGGGAGTTGAGGGACGAGACTATTGTGGATGCAGAGGAGGATCCTAATGTGGATGGTCAGATGAAGAAGCCTGCTGAGGCGTGGACCGCGGGGGGTAGTGTTGCCCACCGCCTGTTTGACTAAGGGTTCGCATGGATATTTGGTATGTCGCGGACTCGGACTCGGACTCGGAGGATACAACTGAGGCTATACGTGAAGATGGCCTGGAGGCGGAGTTCGATGAAGAGCAAGATTTTACGTGTCCTCCTACTGCAGCGGAGAAGCGCATGTATATGCGGCCATGGAGGTCTGCGCTAGTGGTCAAGATGCTAGGAGGATCGACGTCATATACAGTATTATCGGGACGCTTGAACTTCTTATGGGCAAAATCAGGAGGTATTCATATTACGAATATAAGGAATGGCTATTACTTAGTCAGGTTTACGAGTGGCTTTGATTTCGAAAGAGCACTGACGGGTGGTCCATGGATGATTGGAGATCGGTACCTCATGGTACATGTGTGGGATAAGCATTTTGACCCAGATAGTAAGGAAATTTCCTCAACTCTTGTCTGGGCTCGTCTCCTTGAACTTCCCATTCACTTTTTTCATAAAGAAGCTGTTATGAGGATTGGTAAGAGGATCGGGAAGCCGGTACGTGTGGACAAGGCCACTGAGGAGGGAGCACGAGGAGAATACGCTAGGATCTGTGTCCAGGTTGATTTAACAAAGCCCTTGCTGTCCAATTCCGCATTGATGGGAAGAAATATTTTATACAATATGAGGGCTTGGACAGAGTCTGCTTGAAGTGTGGTGTTTATAATGAGCGATTCTACTGTCTTTGCAAGTCTAGTGAAGTACCAATGACGGAGAGTGCAAGTCCGAAGGCGGCCACTAAACCCGAGAGCCTCTATGGTGAGTGGATGATTGCGAAGAAAAAGAAACGACCTGAGAAGAAGGGCTCCATTGCAAGCGGCCAACATGGTACACATGAGATGCCCGAGAAACGCGCTAATGGGATAGGGGTAGAGAAGGAAGGGAGGAATACATTCGCGGTTCTAGTTGAGGATCAAGGGGAGACTGGTGGTGATCATAATGGTGAGAGCCCCTAGAAAGATGTATCTAAGAGAGTAATGCCTGATCGGACTAGTGGGAAGGGAAGGGTGATTGTGGAGGGGAAGGCTAATCAGCGGAGTTCCCCTGATCGTAGTATGGGGATTGGCCAAGGGAAGGAAACCAGTGGGCAGATGGCTAAGAGTGGTAATCGTGTGGGGCAGGGCCAGAAGTCAGGGGGAACTATCGAGCAGAGGAATGAACAAAAAAGGCGGACGAAGGTGATTGGGGATCCGGGTGGGGCAAAGGCAGGCATTTCCAATCATCCTAAAAGTTGGACCAGTCGATGGCGAAGGAAAGATGCCTGGTGGTAGTACTCAAGAGCGATCACACCAAGAATGGCGCGGGGAGCCCATCCCCTTCAGGGAATAAATGAGGATCCTCAGTTATAACTGTCGCGGGCTGGGGAATACCCGATCAGTTAATGATTTAAAAGCATTAATACGCAAATCATCCCCTCAAATTGTCTTCCTTATGGAAACGAAGCAAACTGTAATGGAGAATGAAGCACTTAGAGATGTATGTGGATTCAAGCATGGTAAATGTCACTCAGCCGCCCGGGTGGACTCAGTGTGTGGTGGGTAGCAGATTTGACAATTACGTGCATGGATATGGATCTTCACTTTATCGACATTGCTTTTGATGAGAATTCTAGTGGTATATGGCACTTTACGGGCATTTATGGATGGCCGAAGGGTGGAGAGAAGTGGAGAACATGGGATCTACTTCGCACGTTGGGTAATCAGTGGGACGACCCATGGCTGTGTGGGGGCGACTTCAACCAATTTCTGACGACGGAGGAGAAGTGTGGTGGTCGGATTGCACATGAAATGGAGATGGGCAATTACGCTAATTGCATGGTTGATATTGGATGCCAGGATATGGGCTTCTTTGGCTACCCGTTCACCTGGGAGAATAGAAGAACACGAGGAGTGTTCGTGGAAGAGCGGTTGGATAGATTCATCTCCAACGACAAATGGAGGCAGTTGTTCCCTAGAGGTCGCGTTCAGCATGGTGATCTTTTGTGATACATGCGGGTTAGAGGACAGGGACGTGAAATGGGGATACTCCTTCTATTTTGAACCAATGTGGATTAAGCATGAGGAATGCTCCAAGGTCATAGAGCAGGCGTGGAAGAGTACAGGGACAAATAATGTCCTCACGAAATTTTCCAACTGCAGACAAGAATTAGAAGTTTGGAGTGGCCGAGCTTTCCCAGCATTTAAGAAACAAAAGAATAAGATTTACCGGGCAATGAGGGTACTGGAACGAAGAAGGAAGATTAAGGAGACTCTGCTGCAGCTGAGGCATCTGGAAGATGAGCTGGCGGATATCCTCGACAACGAGGAAAGATACTAGAAACAGCGGTCCCGAGTAGATTGGCTAGGAGAGGGGCATAAGAACTCTAGCTTTCTCCACCGGAAAGCAGTGCACGCCGCAAGAGAAATACTATTAAAAAGATTCAGAATGGGTCCAGTCAATGGTGCAGTGGCCAAGAAGAGGTTACGGCGTATATGGTAGATTACTTTGGCGAGATTTTCACAGCGGGGGCTACCCCGATGGTTTGGCCTGTGCTTGACTCTATCTCGAAGCGCGTTAGCGAGGAGGATAATCGGGATTTGCTTTGACCTTTTAGTAAGGAGGAGGTCTGGGGAAGTAGATGGGGAAGCGGAAGGCCCCTGGCGCGGATGGCCTCTCAGTGTTGTTCTTTCGATGGTATTGGGAGATTATTGGTGATGATGTGATGAGGACGGTTCTCCAAATTCTCGAGACGGGGGCCTACCGGCGACCCTCAATCATAATCTTATCACTTTTATCCCCAAGACAAAGCAACCGGAGACTCCTAAGGATTACCGGCCTATTAGTTTGTGTAATGTCCTCTACAAGATTGTTTCTAAAATGTTGGTGAACCGACTGAAACCACTCCTAGACAAAGTCATCTCGCCCTCGTAGAGTGCTTTTGTTCCTAGACGGTTCATTACTGATAACATTATGGCTGCCTTTGAGTGCTTTCATACGATGAAGAACAACAAAAATGGAAAGCATGGTTTTTTTTGCCGCAAAGATAGATATGGCCAAAGCGTATGATCGCGTGGAGTGGGGGTTTTTGGAGGGAGTTATGCGGAGATTGGGTTTTGATGAGAGGTGGATCCAGTTGGTGATGATGGGGGTGAAGTCTGTGACTTACTCTGTACTGGTGAATGGTCATCGCTCTCCCACCATTATACCGAGCAGAGGGATCCGACAGGGCGATCCGCTGTCACCGTATCTCTTCCTGCTTTGTGCGGAGGGATTATCATCTTATACGACCCAGGTGGCGGGTGAAAACCGGCTACATGGGTTACAGGTGACACGAAATGCCCCGGTGATTACCCACCTATTTTTCGCTGACGACAGTATTTTTCTTGCCAGGGCAACTCATCAGGAATGCTTGGTGCTAAAGGAGATCCTTCAGGCATACGAGAAGGAGTCTGGCAGATGGTTAATTTCCAGAAGTCCAAAGTGTCTTTTTCAACCAATGTTAAACCTCACAACAAGCTGACTATGAGCGGCACGCTGGGGATGAAGATGGTGGCAAAACATGATAAGTATCTCGGCTTGGTGACGGAGGTCGGACGATCAAATAAGGAGCTCTTTGTAGGGCTTAAAGAGCGTGTGAGGCAGAAGTTGTAGGGGTGGAAGGAGAAGGCGATGTCTATGGCAGCCAGGGAAGTTCTCATTAAATCGGTGACACAGGCCCAGCTCACTTACGCGATGTCCGTTTTCAAAATTCTTGATGGAATCATTGATGAAGTACATAGTTTAATCACCAACTTCTGGTGGGGGAAAAAAACGAGGAGAAGCGAGCACACTGGCTCCGACGAGAAGAGTTAGTAACGTTGAAGAAAGATGGGGGAATGAGCTTCCGGGACCTCAAGGGTTTCAATCTGGTTCTCCTTGCAAAGCAACTGTGGTCGCTCGCTCAGAGGCCTACATCTCTTATTGCTCGAGTCTTGGCTGCAAAATATCATAAGGGGTGCTCTATATTGGAGGCGCGGCTTGGTAGTCGGCCAAGTTTTGTGTGGTGGAGTCTTATGGGTGCACAAAATTTCCTGTGTAGTGGACTGCGTTGGTGTATCGGCAACGACTCTAAGGTAAGGGTATGGGGCGATAGCCGGCTACCTAACTCTGACCCTGGGTTTATCCCTTATGCTCCCTGTGTTTTGCCGGTTGATGCGGTTGTCCGGGACCTCATTGACCAGGACTCGGAGACTTGGGACGAGCCGCTTATTGCGAGTTGTTTTCCACCAGCAGTTGCCCAGGCTATACTTGCGATCCCGCTAAGGGGCAGTGAGGAGCAGGATCGGCTGGTGTGGAGTCATAGCGAGGATGGTTGGTTTATGGTGAAGGATGGGTACCGGTGGTGGCTAAGAGACTTCAAAATCCAGGAAGGTATTGTCCCAACAGGGGATGCGAGCCTGTGGAAAGCAGTTTGGTCACTCCCAGTTCCACCCAAGGTCCGACACTTCTTGTGGCGGTTCACCAGAGAAGTCCTACCTACGGGGTCAGAGTTAGTTCGAAGAGCGATAAGTGGAGTGAGATATGCCCGTTTTGTAACCAGCCGGAAACGCAACGACATTTATTTCTTAAATGCAGCTGGAGTGGCCGGTTGTGGAGAAGCACCCCTTGGTCGAGGGCCATTAATTTGGTAGGCTCTGCTGACTACATGGAGTGGTTTCGGAAGGTTCTCAAAGATGAACCCAAGGAGATAGTTGAAAAATGGGTGATGATTTTATGAGAGCTATGGAAGGAGAGGAATGCGCAGCTATTTAATGGTCATAAGTGGCCGGGGGATGAGATTATCATGAAGGCACTCTCTATCCTAGAGGAATTCCAACTGAATCAAGGAAGGGGATGTAAGGAGGCAGTTACACAACACCAAGTAGCTTGGTCTCCACCGCCAGAGGGATGCATTAAAATCAACACTAATGTTGGCATCCTACCTGGGGAGGGAGTTGGGCTGGGGCAGTGTTTAGAGATCATTCCGGACGTTTCTTAGCTGCTGCTGCAAAGAGAATGTGTGGGTACTATGGTGTTGAGCTCACTGAAGCCATTGCGGCTGAATTTGGTGCCCAATTGGCGGCCCAACTGGGGTACCGCAAGCTAATTATTGAGGTGGATAGCTTAACCTTGGTGGAGAAGTTTGCTAAGGCAGCTGAGGTTGATAATGAAGTGGGCTTAATTTGCATAAACTTGTCGAAGTATCTCCGGGATACTGGGTCTGAGAATGATCGTATTAGCCATGTTAAAAGAATGGCTAATAATTCGGCTCACATTATGGCCCATAGCAAGACGAACTGGGAGAGTAGAGAGGTGTGGATTGACAGGCCGCCGATTTTCCTTGTTGACCAGCTGGTGCTGGATAATGTAACCCCGATTTTACCTTAATAAAGCTACAGGTTACCCGTCCAAAAAAAAATACAAAACCTAGTATATTAGTATAATAAGCAAACACAATTACCACAACTAAATACAAAACCTAGTATATTAGTATGATAGGCAAACACAATTACCACAACCCCAACTTTGTAAAACTTCTCCTTTTCAGTATAAACTTATCCAAATGATAATCTTGCCACAAAGTTTCATCTACATTAAGCTTGCCAATTTAGCTAAGTAGCAGACTAGGACGCTCAATTTAAGACGTTCGCAATACGGTCTCGTATTGTGCACAACAAACTATTAGCCTGTTGCATGTCTTCCGGATAAAAAACTAGGTTTTGAAGAAAATATGAACAACATTCTCTTTCATGTTTATGCTCTCCGAATGTATGTTTTGAGGGTCCAGGAGGTATGCTATTAATAAGAGTATAAATCCTATAGTTTTTCTCCTTTGCGAGAAATAAGCGGGCTAAGAACATGTGACTAAGGGGGGTTCTCTTAGTCACGTGACTAAGTCAATCTCAGCCTTTGAGCCTCATTTAAATCCAATGGTTCTAATTAATTCAATTTAAAAGAGGGTAATGTGGTAATTGCAGGATTTTTATATTTTAATTAGGGTTAATAGCATATTTTGCCCCTCTACTATGCATTTTTCTCAAACTTGCCTCTCTATTATGATTCACATCAAAGTTACCCCTTTTTTATGACAAGTTCTCAAACATACCCTTCTGTTATATTTTCCATCTAAGAACCGTTAAATTTGGTCAAACCATGGTCTAACATACCGAAAATGACCAATCTATCCCTAATTATTTGTAAAAAAAACAATTAAGCAAAAATTAAATTGGAACCCCAATAATGACAGGCCGCCACCCAAGTTTTGCATCGCCACTACCTAATCTCGAGGTGGTGCCCAACAAACTCACCCCTTCCATTAAATAAATCAAAGACTCAGTTGATTGAATGAGAGAAACTTCAAATTGAGAAAGGAGACAGTTATACAGAGTTGGGGTTGTGGTAATTATGTTTGCCTATTATATTAATATACTAGGTTTTGTATTTAGTTGGGAAGTTAAGATGGATATGCCACATTTTGTTTGATTGGAAGGCAGAAGCAAGGTAGGTAGGATGAATGTTGATTACGTTTGTCTTGGAAGCATCTGAAGAGGGTCGGAGAGGAGAGAAGAAAGGTAGCATGGGTAACTAATTACCAACTAGCAATCTATCTTGTGATAATTAAATATGAATAGAATTAATTAATTAAAGAATGATGCATTGCATTGGGTAATCCGATCCGATGGGCACTTAGTAAGTATATAAACGCATTCGCTGCACCCAATTGTTCTTCACCCACACAACACTGAACACAACCACGCCCAATATTCTTTCTCCGTCGAAATTAAACGGGGATCGATTGAGTAGTAGTGTTGTTGTGGGGGATCTATCTTACCTTGCTAGCAGGCCATAATGAAGAATACCATCATCACCTTCTCCCGTGTGTTGCTTCTTATTGTCACCGTCGTGATTTGCCTGCAGGCCAGCCGCAGCAACGCCGCCCGACCGGCCACAGCTAATCAAGATTCATGCGCCGACTATAAAGCAGCAGCAGTCAGCTGCTACGACTTTATCTCCCAGCCGGCTGACAAGAGCGTCCCTTCTGACAAGTGCTGCTCAGGCCTCAGGGACTACAAGAACAAGGACCTGAAAAACGCCTGTTCCTGCTCTCGCACTTTCATGTCTCAGCTTGACAAACCCCACGTCGACAAACTTGAACAGCAGTGCACCCTAAACATGGAAACCGCCTGCAAAGGGTGCGTATATTACATCTCAATTTCTTCTCCTCCTTCAATTCCATAGATTATTATTAATCAATGTTCTTCTATTTCATTGTCTCGCTCTTTGTACAGCGTTTAACTCTCCATCATCATATCATATATATTGCACCATACCAATGCTCATCATCAACTCGATCGGTCCATCCCCTTCATCATCACCTTGATCAACCAAGCAGCTAGCAGCTGCCCAATTCGCACTACTTTATTTATAAGCCATTCAGCTTCAAGCAAGCAAAATGGGAGAAGACAAACACAACCTACCTACCTACAACTAATGTATCTTTCCTCCGATCCATCCATTCTCGTTCTAAATTAAAAATAAATGTCCTAATTAATTTTAAGCTTCTACTTTTTAATTACTACGTCCAATATATATAAGTGGGTCTCCCCACAACCATCATTATTATGTTATTATCACTTCTCCTTTTATCCAACGTCCTTAATTTTATATTAATTTCCTCGGCCCAACTCGTGCAAATTCATCTATATCTTCCCATTCCCATACGTGACTAACGATGCAATACGTGGGTGCTTCTTAAATTCATCGCCATTTCTATTACAATATAGCTCAAACTGTTATACTCTTGAAATGTACGACACTTTGTGCACTCCTAGTTATTGAGTTATCTACGTTTAGACAATAAATTAAACCGACTTTGTGGTATAAGACTATATCCTAACCTATAATAATGATAAAAAATGTTGAATTAAAAGCTTAGCTCTAGTTGCAATAATCAATTGTCATGCTTCGTCGACATACATCCAACAAATGATATGCACCATCTTAGTATTTAGGGTCTATGATTTAGATAACTAAAATCTAGAATTCACTCATCATGTTTTGTTAATCTCATTAGGCTCGCAAACTAACTCGACTCGATGGCTCGTTGATTCTGACTCGCGAGCTAGGTCGATAATGTGACTCACAAGCCAACTCCAGCCTTAATACTCAATATTTATTTGCATACACTCGAAAATAGCTTTAATGGATTGGACTGGATCAACAACATGCTAATAGAAATATAAATGGTTACCAATGCCGATAAAAGGACTCCTTTTTATAAATGTTCACGTTTCTAGTAAAACATCCATAATAAGATTAATGTATGTTTTTCAGTAGATACAAAGATGACATGTATCTAACTCACACAACAGGAAAAGTGACTTTATGCAACACTCGTCTTGCAACACTTTTTAGAAGTGTCACATAAAATAAATATAGGCAACACTTTCATTTTGTGTCGCGTAATATATATCTTATACAACACAAATTAACATCACGATAAATTTTGTTGCGTATACCTAAATAATATGCAACAGTTGTACAATAAAATAATTTGTGTTACATATACCTATATTTTAGGTAACACTTAATAAAAAGTGTTACATATTTTATTGTTTTAATATTTATTATCAATTAATAAATAATGTATTAACTAAGTATATGTCTTCAAATTAACTACAACTCTCACTATTGAAGAACAAAAAAGAAACGAGTTGTACCTTTTATTATTAATTTATAGTTTAAGACTTTTGAATACCTTTTAAACTCCTTTTTGCATTCATACGGCAGAAGGTGACCGAACCATATACCAGCAACATTAAAAAAATAAAAAAGAGTAAATAAATGAAAGAATTAGCGCGCGAAAGGTAAAAAGGGAGAAAGATTGGCGCGAATCTATTCTTCTCCAGCCCGGAAAAGGAACAAAGCAGCCACTTTTTGGAGTTGCAACCGGCCCCCAAACTCCGACACCTTTGCTTCAGTATAATCCCGATTTGTTGCTTGATCGAAAGACGATTGGCTGTTTTGCTTCAACGCCTTGATCTCCTGGTAAGTTCCTCCATAATACATGTTTTCCCCACTTTTATGTTGATTCTCTTGAAGTGTCCTTGTTTTTGTGCGTGGTTTGGATTCCAACAAGTTCTTTGTCGTGGGTGTCGCAAAAGGAAGGGGGGATTAGGGAAAGGAACAATTTCTTTGAAGGTGGATCGGATTTGGAGATGTTGCGATAAGGGTATGTTATGTTCTAAGAAATTGGGGATTTTTGTATTAATGAGAAAGTTTTATTCATTCATAGCCACAACCTGCACATTTGACCTCTGAATCATGAATTGCAGGCTGGTTAGTATACTGTTCAGTTTTCGATAGCGTTCATTGTGGTTTATATTTCTCAGCTACAGTTCGAGATTAGTTGTGCAATCTCTTCTAAACATTGTGTATAAGTGCTGGAGGAGGACATGGTATTCCTTATTTTTAGTGTTATGCTTTTTCTTGGGGCCCAAACTGCAAAAAGAAAATAACGACATCTGATACTCTAAGAAGAGCATGGATTCCTTGTTCTTGATTTGATTTTCCTCATATCAAACTTGGCTGCACTTTTGTTTTTCTTCCTTCTCTCTATTCCCTTGTGGTTTCTTTCTTGTTCTTGTTCGTTTACTTACTTGAAGACATGAGCAAATTAATTATACGAAGCCAATAATGATTGCTTTTGGTGCACAAGTTAACTCGGCAGTGCATAGGAGATGAGTGAGCACGTATGATATCTGAATTAAGGAATGCTCCTGCAATCTTTCTTTGTCTAGAACATTTAGTACTTGACTAGCTATTGATTCGTGTGTGCTGCATCTTAGATTACTTGAGATAAATTTCCTGGTTCTAACTCTTTTGGAGTTTTAGTTGCGAGTATGATAGGCTAATCATATGATGGTCCTTGTCCTTACTCTAAATCAGTTCTCCGTGTAATGCTGGATAACATAATAGATAGAACTAGTTACGAATAGGCAGCATAAGCTTCATGTTAGGTTGTGAGTTCTTTGTTCAAGCGTATGCTTGCTGTGTCCTGATTTATTATGTTCGAATAAGGATACTTAACCATTTCAGAGTAGCTTAGGAGATTCGTTTTTCAAGCTTCTGCTTGTTGTGTTCTGATTTCTGTGTCCTTCTATTTTTGGGGACAAAATTAAATTACTTGTCTCTCATCCTCTTTCTCTTTCTCAATATGTAATCAAAGAGGAACTGTGGATGATATTTAACTATTTATGTTTCTTCAACTTGATGGAGCTTTTCAATTGATTGAGGACTACTGCATTGGAGAGCTAAAGAAGTAAGATCTGGTTTTTTGGGCTCATATAGCACCACTAGGGGTGGGCATTGGTGCGGTTTGGACCGCACCGCACCGTATTGATATAAACCACACCGCACCGCATCTTAATTGGATCGCACCGCATGTTCGACCGCAATATTATTGGTGCGGTCAAACCAAACCGCATAAATTAGCGGTTTGGTGCGATCTAGACCGCACCGCATAATTGACCGCAATTCATTATGGTTCATATATAATTAAATAACATTCCTACTGCCTAACAGTACATCGACTCGATTTCTTTGCCACCAAAACAGAGCACCCAGGCTGCTGATGACTACTGCCAAAAGGAATTATAATGGCAACAAAATGCCATCCATTATAGACACTTTAGTTTTGTGTGTACTTGTACTGGCAATTGGCAAGTAAAATCATTAACCATTACAGAAACCATAAATGTCCCAACTAGATAACGGTGTTATAATTACGAACAATTGTGAGAGGGATTCGGAGGTTGGGAAGGCGGTGAAAATTGAAAACATATTATGAGAGGGATCGCCAAGAGGGAACGAGAAGCTGGGGAAGGCGGCGAGAACAGATAGCTAGAGGAATGGGAAAGTTGGGGAACAACGGTGGAAATCGGTTGCGCCATCATTGGACGACGACTTTGAGTGACATTTTAGCGGTTTGCGATTTTGAACCACAACCGCGCGGTTTTGGTCGCTCCAAACCGCAAACCATTAACCGCTTAATAGTTGGACCGCAAGTGAGACCGCAAGCTTTACGGTGCGGTTTGGATTGACCGCAAAAGCGGTTCGGTGCGATTTGGAGCGGTTTGTCCACACCAATACCCACCCCTAAGCACCACATTGTATTTGTATAAACTTGTTGCTTCTCCTGGCCATGTTGACGAACTGCACTGTAGCGTTTTTTGCATTTAACATTAGCATTTTTATGGGGAAATCCTTGAGTTACAGCATGTTATGAAGCATGTTATTGAGGAAAAGAGAAATGGGAAATGTTTCTTTGCTATGTATGATGTATCGGCAAGCCTAGCGAAACAAGCAAAACTGATTTTTTTTTTTGCACACTTTAACAGGAGCTGAAATATTTTGCAGGTTGCAATTGAAATGTTGGACAAGAGTTGGGTTTCGAAACCACGAGAAAGTATTGCATATCGCAACGGAGTAGAGTACTTTTTGAACTTTGCATTTGCTAATTCAGCTGAGGGAGATCAGATTGTGTGTCCTTGTGTGGACTGTATAAACCTGTTGTGGAAAACAAGAGATATCGTACGTACGCATTTGGTTGTACGTGGATTTGCTCCGAAATACAATCAGTGGACCGATCATGGAGAAAATGATATTGAGGATATAGGAGACACCGAAGGGCTTGGTGATGATGATATGCATGGCCTATTGAATGATGTCTATGCTACGGAGAGTGGTGAAGAATCAAATGACAAAGTGAAGGAATTTTTTACTCTCATACATGATGCTGATCAAGAATTGTACCCTGGCTGCAAGAAATTTTCAAAGCTCTCTTTCACCATTCGAGTTTATCTTCTTAAGTGCCAGAACAGATGGAGTAATGCATCAATGGACTCGCTCCTTTCCTTGCTCGTTGAGGCTTTTCCAGATGCAAAGATTCCTGCATCATATGGTAAAATGAAGGCGATGATTAAAGGTTTAGGTTTGACCTACAAGAAGATTCATGCTTGTCCAAATGATTGTATTCATAAACCTGAGTTTTCTTCTTGATGGACAGATTCAGTGGTAGGTTCTATCTCCGATGCATCCTCAGCTTCCTCTTCAGTACAATCTTGGTCGGTGGAGTCGTATTCACCATCGTCTTCCATTTCATAATCTTCATCGTCTTCCTCAAAATCATTCGACGTTGTTCCTTTGTGTAGCGACGAAGATCCTCGATGCAAGTTGAAGTGATTAGCTTTGGCAGGAATAGGTTGTGAAGATCTAAACTTTTTGCTTGGAATAGACACTTTTTTTGAATATCCAGCATTCTTTCTCGAGACCTGGACTGCATCTCCGAGAGGTTGTGTAGCGGATTTGGCCTTGAGTTGCATTTGGGATCTACGCTTGGGAATTGGGCCAGTCATTCCAATTCCAACCTTAGCTTGCTGTTGTGATTTTTTCTTCAATGAGGTTGACGTAGGGTGGCTGACTTTACTCTTACCATTCTCTGGTACCTTAGATTTCATCATACCGATCATCGCAGCACTGGATTCAAGAAAAGTGCAGATTAATGAGATAACATAGTGCAGATTTAATAAACTACTAAGCAAGTTCACAAGTTTAAGCGGTGAGCGAAATAAAAAGCAGAGGCAAAATCAATTAATTACTTACCTTTTGGCCAAAGTAGTGTTTCTTGGGATTGTGTAGCAATTCTCAAAGGAGTCTTCAGCGCCTGCCCAACAGATCACCCATATCCTTAGTTTATGTAGGGTTTTCGTTATTATATATAATTGGAGAAGCTGGCGGTAAACTTAAACAAGGATGGAGGGAAAAAAGCGCGGTCCTTCCCAAATTAGAAGCTTGGCGGTAATTCTTTTCTTTTTACGTAAGCTTGGAGGTAAACCAAAGATAACTATTATGAAAGATATTTTTATATTATTCCAACCAAAACAGAAAAGAACCTATAAATATTACGAATCCAAACTTCCAGCCCAAAAATAGCTAATTGTCCGCCTAATTCATCCTAGCTAAGAAAAACATTAAAGTGGCATAATTCCACACTTTTTATGATGTTTTCCTTGTACATATTTAACAAATAATTAAAATTAGAGTTTATATGACTATCTATATTTTTTTTATCTATACACAAATTACTATCGTAAGTTTGAATAATCGTTTCTCCAAATTTTGGGGTGTCCGGGACATTCCCAAAGTCCCTTGGATCCGTCCTGCCTACCGTGACGCATGTTAACTTCAGTATGACTTATGATCAATATTTTTATAGTTAATTACCCTTATTACGGTATGCCTATTCATAGAATGCACTAAATCGATGTATAAAAGTGGTCGGACAAGTTTTACTGGACGTCGTCGTAGCACACACTTTGTTAGCAAACTGCGTCAAGTATGTGATTCACTGTAGTGGGTTGAATTGAGTTGGATTCAGATCCCATCAACTGAGTCACGGTAGTAGATGAATGGGTCAGTCCTACCGTGACACATGTTAACTTGATTACGAGTTATGATCAATAGTTTTATAGTTAATTAACTTTATTACATTATGCATATTTATAGAATGCACTGAATCTATGTATAAAAAGTGGTAGTACAGGTTTTACTGGACATCGTCATAGCACACACCGTGTTAACAAACTGCGTCAACTATGGGATTCACTGTAGTGGTTGAGTTTAGTTGGATTCATACCCCATTAACCGAGTCACAGTAGTAGATGAAGGGGTGACAAGTACTAGCCCTGCCATTATGCATGTTAACTTGATTATGACTTATGATCAATAGTACTAGCCCTTATTACGGTATGCATATATATTCATATAATGCACTGAATCTATGTATAAAAGTGGTATTACAGGGTTTTACAGGATGTCATCGTAGCACACATTGTGTAGCGAACTGCGTCAACTATGGAATTCACTGTAGTGGGTTGTGTTGAGTTGGATTCAGATCCCATTAAACGAGTCACAGTAGTAGATGAATGGGTCACGGGTACGTACTAGCCCTACCGTGATGCATGTTAACTTGATTATGAGTTATGATCAATAGTTGTGTAGTTAATGAACCTGATCATGATGTGCAAATTCATAGAATGCACTGAATTCGTGTATACAAGTGGGAGTACAGGTTTTACTGGACGCGTCGTAGCACACACAATGTTAGTGAACTGCGTCTCCAACTATGTTATTCACTTTATCTTAATTTCGTGATATTTACTTTTCTCTCGATTCGATTATCATACAAATGAAAAAACCTGTCGTAGGTAGCATATGTTTAGTTAAATTAATCAGCGGCGGATCTAGGAGGGCTGGCCCCGGGCCACGGCCCAGCCCTCACTCGATTCGGAGCTAGTATAGCACTTGTAAATTTTCGATTTTTTGTGTTCGTTTCACGGTTCGTCGTGTTACGGCCCAGCCGTCTCTGCCTTTTTCCAATGTGGCCCAGTACTCTACCAAATCCTGAATCCGCCGCTGAAATTAACAACTAAATTAAGTATGTTAAATAATCCTAGAACGAAAGTTTGGGCAGAGGAGGCACAAATTATGAATTGAAAGTCAATGTCGATTTTGATCAGTAACTATGAAAGTCTCAATTTTTTGTCGGTAGATATGAAAGTAAGTCTAATTATTTTACCATAGTGAATATGTATTATCATAGTTTACAACCATAATGAGAAAGATTATGGACTTCATTCTTTTTCGGAAATCAATTGTGGGCAAGTATCTTTGTTTTATTGGTTCCGCTCTTACATGAATTATAACTCTTCCTTTTAAGTGATAATGCAATAAATCTTCCGGGGGAAACCCCAATTGAAAATCTTCCAACACATAAAAATATCCCAACTCTTTCTATTCAAAATAAATATATATTCCAAGTCAAATAAATTTCGGTAGTATTAATCCAAGCTTTCCCATTTAATAAAAAACCCTCCCCCTGCTGAAATCCTTCTCCCGGAAAACCCTTATTCTGTTCCATCGTCGAATGCTTGCGCATCCTTCAATCTCAAGACGCTATCCTTGTTGCCTTCAATCTCAAGTACGCTGCTCTATCAATTTATTCTGTTTTTTTGTATTTAGATTTTTTACATACATTATTTTCAGGGCTCTATTCCTCCTGCTCTTCGTACAGGGATACGCTGCTACTACTTCTTATGGGCTTGTTCATACTAGTACCTTTGTCGTCTCCAGTTCTCTGTATTTGAATTGAGGGTACAATCGAGATGTCATGTGCTTCCTATGTTTCTATTTCCTGATCTATCGTCCAAACTTTTATGAGCTCTGTTTTGTGTTAGTATGAGGTGCTCTTGAATTTCTTTTTTCTATTCCTCTGTTTTGTGTTCTGTTTTGGAGCCGTGTCTTCATTTGCTTCCTTTATAATTGTTCTATTACTTGTATAAATAAAATGGAGATCTACGCTAAAGAAAACGATAAATCAGTGAGTGAATATATAACCCTTTATCCCGCATGATCCCCCAGAACTCGCTCGGGATGACTCTTTGTTTTTTCCCCTGTTTCTATTTAATCCTTTTGTGCTGGCTGCTGGGTGGGTTCTGTCAAAAGTGGCGTTGTGTGTACAGTAGGGCTGGGCATGCGGGCGGATCATCCGCGGGTTTGGGCCGACCCACCCGCATTTGACCCGAATTTTGTTAAGTGGGTGGGTCTGTGGGTGGATGACGGGTTGCGCTGGGAGCCATCCGTCGAGTGGTGGGTGGGTTGTGGGTGAGTGTGCGGGTGACCCGCTCAACCCAACAGCAAAAAGATCAAAGTCGTTGGCGCTAGAGAGAGGAGAGTGGAGACGTTAGATATAAACTCGGACTGCTCCTTGAGTTTGAACCTCAAAGCCAACCTTCCAAATAGAGATCCCCTCTTCTTCCCTTTACTTTTTCCTCTAATTCTTGTGCCTAGATCACCGCTCTTTCCTTTTTGGAATTATTTTCCTTAGTTCATTGCACCTAATAATCGTCTCAATCTGTAGAAAACTCTTTCATAATAGAATTTCTATCCAATTTAAGAACTAATTCGACATTTTTCGCCCTATTTCAACTTCTTGTTTCCCTCGATGATTCTCTTCACCTATTATCATGTCAAGTTGACTCCTTTATATTATATACATTGTGATGTGGGTGAACCCACAAACCCACCCGAATAATCCACCATCCGCCCGACCCAACCCGAGACTAAATGTGGGTGGGTGGTGGGTTAAAAGTTATCAATCCGTTTAAGCGCGGGTGGGTACATTTTATGGTCAAAATCCACCCGACCCACCCAATGCCCACCCCTAGTGTACAGCTTCTACTTTGATGAACCAATGACTGCTTCTTTTTAATAGTTTGGCTATCCCTTCCATTCAAATATATATAACCCTTTATGTCATTATTGAAATAGCCTTGGTACTAGCTAACGGAAGTACTAGGATTGCATTAGCTAATTATAGCAACCACACTTATCTTTTGCCCCCTATAACATTGAAGCTTTATTTTGATAGGAACCATGAGCTCCAGTTATGTTGTGTACTCGTCCAAAAGAGCAAGGAAAACACGAGAGCATCGAGCCGAATCAATGACTTCTGACAGTGATGAGATGCGATCCCAGCCGATAGATGAACTATATGATTCCGATGAGACTCAAAATAAATCAGAAGAACTGCGTGCAGGACACACTTTTGTACCAGAATCAGAGTTTGAATCCCAGGAGGCACCTGAAGGTAGACATTGTGCTACAATTATTTTATTATTAACTAAATAATAATCTTTGCATTTATTTTTTTGCTATAGTGAAGAAGAAGAGAGGCAAGACAACCTGCAACTATGTTGAGCTGGCAACAAAGAAGGGAAACAAAATTGAGGTGCATGTTTCTAGTGATGGTAAAGAGGCTATTGGTAAGAACGCACGAAAATTTGTTAATTTTTGTGGACTAATAGTAAGAAGCAACGCGAAGTTGAGCGTTGAGACATGGAATAAGATGGACGAAGCTGGAATTGAAAAGTTATTTGAATTGGTGGAGGTAAATTTATCCTTTAAGATTTTAACATACGTGTTCACAAATTCCCTCCGGTAGATGAATTGTTTGGTTTTTGTATGCAGGAGAAATTCACTAGCAGTGATAAACAAGAACTTAGAGATCTTATGTGGATCAAAATGAACTCAGCTCATTCATCTTGGCAATACCGCGAGCGTAAAAACTTTCTTGGTCTTTCCGATAACGAAAGGGATGGTTATGTTCCTGAAGGTGTTGATGCTGAGGATTGGGTGCAAGCTGTTCAATATTGGGCTTCTGATGACTTCAAAGTAAGTATCGATTTTATATGAGATGCTGCAAACTTATTTTAATCTTTGATTATTATTGACATATTGAAAATATAGAAAATGAGTAAGAGGAATAAGCAAAACAGAGGAAAGGTGGAAGGGAAAAATACTTGTGGTTCAAGAACATATGGTGAAGTGGCGGAAAATACGGTAAAGAGTTTCATACCTTAAGTTTCATAATTAATAATCTAATTATTATCTTTTCCCATTTTGCCTATTTAAATAGTATTCTCAACTTGTAAATTTAATTACTCTACTTCAAATTTCAGAGAGATCCGTTAACGGGAATAATGAAGTCTCATGATGAGATCTATTTTGCTCAACATACGAGGCAAAACAACGGAGAAATATCATGGCCTGATCCTAGATCAAAAATAATATTGCTCAGACTAGTAGGAGGTTCAGAAGAAGAGCGAAAAATAAGTCTATATTGAGGGCGGAGATAGAAGCAGAGGTGCAACAACAATATAATGCTAAGTTAGCCGAAGAAAAGAAGAAGTTTGAGGAGAAAATAGCTCGTCTACAAGCAAAAAAACCATGAGGAAAAGATGAGAGAAATGAGATCGACATGAGAGACAATTTTCTTTTCAATATAAACAATAGCCTATGAGTACATTTTTCTACTATATTTAGTTTATATCATTATTGAGATTGGAGCTAAAGATATTTATTTTCAATAAAAATATGAATTGGTTTTATTATTAACAAAATCTTGTTACAATTAGGTATTTGTGACTAGCAATTTATCACAAAATCATTACAATTATGACAAAAACAAGCCATAGTTATTGTCACTAAATGTGATATATGTGACAACTTTGTTATGAAAAAAAGTATTTATTCCATTCAAATCGTTACCATTGTTGTATTTTTTGATGACAATAGTTGCCATATAAATCATTTTTCGTGACATATCAAATTTACACTAATGTATACTATTTGCTACAATGTACAATCGTCACAAAAATTGTCATATGTGACACAAAAAGTATGTCACTAAAATATTATTTCGAGTTTAATTTTGTTACCAAAAAATATAATCGTGACAACACGGTTTTCACTAACTATACAAAATTATGATGGCTAAAGTTCTCACGATTGATTATATTTGTGACGATAATATGTCTTACATAAAGTGGTTTTGATCATGTATCAGATCGTCACTACTGTATACTTCTCTTACAACACACCAACGTCACAAATGCTATCAGAAGTGACAAAACCATTCATCATAAAAGTATGCTTTCGTGACAAATTTTATTTCTTGTCACTAATGTTGTCACAGCCGTAACATAAACTATGTCACAAAATCTGACTTTAGCGACAATATAACTGTCACAAAAGCCTCCTTTTGTGATAAATGTGTATCCGAAAAGGCGCATCATTTGTGACAACTAGAAATTGTTACGAGTGGAAAACATCTGGTGACTATACAAACTCATCACAAATGCAAAGTATTTGTTACACTTGCAAGGTTGTCACAATTGAGTACATCTTATGTGACGAAAAAAACCTGTCACGATAAAGCTTATACGTGTTATGTATACAATTCAAAAGGTGTTGCGTAAACTTTTAAAAGTGTTGCCTAAAATTGTGTTGCATATAGAGTATACTTATGCGACACATTTTTTGTTGTTGCGAAAAAGTGTCAAAAGTGTTACCTATTACTTTATACAACACCACCTATAGAGGACACTACTAAAAGTGTTGCATATTGCATATGCAACACTTTCGGCACCTTTTGCAACACATTTCGAGTGTTGCCAAAGGCCACTTTTCCCGTAGCAACTCCTGTTTTATATTTCACAATAGTATGGAAGACGGAGTATCTATCCTATAGCTTGGATAATAATTGGCAGTAGAGGTGGCAATTAGAATCCAAATCCATGAATCCAATTCAATTCATCCACCAAATTATCCACCTAATTCAATCCATTTAAATCCAATCCATTTGATCCAAATCCAATTGGATTGGTGGATTCATGGATCAATACATGGATCCAAATGGCAAATTACGATTTGATACCTATATATTTTATATTTTACATTTTGGTACCTAAAATTTATATTTTTATACGAAAAATATCATTGGAAAATTATATTTTGGTACCTAAAATTTTTCATTATGACATTTTAATACCTAAACTTTGCAAAATTTATATTTTGGTCCAAGTCTTGGATGTCATTTGGATTCATGGATCAATCCACCAATCCATTTGATCCAATCCATGAATCCATGAATCCACCAATCCATTGGATTCAATCCATTTGATCCATGGATTTACCAATCCAATCCACGAATCCGATCCAATGGCCACCTCTAATTGTCATAATTAATCAGTGGTATGTATACTCCAGAAAGTATCTTGTTTGCTGCTTGGCGTTGGCTGCTGCGCGCAGTGTTGTTTCACTGATTTTTATACCACATCGTTTGTAAACAAAGAATTCATCCCCAAGGTATTTATAGATTTTTTTGCTCCTATGCTTTCCAATTGTGTTCCGATGAACTCCAATCGATTCCTGATCAATCCTAAATGCATATAAGACCTGGAATTTCATCACAAACACTTGGAAAAGCATAAAATACGACCAAGTGGGTTCGATTCTCTATGAAAACCTCCACATCAAGAATTCATATGCCAAAACGGATGTTTTGCAAATAGGAATGAAAATATGCATAAATAACTTGATATGTGGCCTAGACACGATGATTCAACATGAAAATACTTTAAGAATAATGGCTAAATAATGCATAGTTCAGGTGTTATCAGAAACCCTCTCGCATAGGGCCTCCAAATTAATGGCTAAATAATGTCTATTTTAGGTATTAATCAAAGATAATTATTGTGTAACAATCGAGAAGTCGTCGGTCGTTTCTCCAAGTTATAGCAACTTCTAAATCATTGCAGCAAAGTCCAAAGAAGAATTGCATATATGACATTAGTGATATCCATAGTAAAAAATAGAGCATTTCAGAAATTGTTTCGTTTCTCCCAATGGTACATCCACAAGTGTAAAATACTTTTTTATATAGGACAAATGTAAAATAGTTGAGGAAACCGGTTATTCTTCTTCATACAATCATAATTATTTCCGTTTTGATTTTAAGTTTCAACTATTTTTTTTTTTTACAAAAAATAATCATGTATTGATTGAAACAAATAGATAGTTACATAGTAGAATTCAGTCAGGCCTGAAAATCAAATAAACAATTATTGTTATTATTACTGTAATATAATATTAGGGGCTGTTTAGAAGTTGTGATTCTTCAAATTGATGTATTGGGTCAATTAGTATATTATCATTTGATGTATTGAATCAATTGATGTATTAGACAAATACTTTGTTTGGAGGTTAGATTGTGTTTTTGTTGTAAAAGTATAAAAGTTAATTTGAGTGATTGTGAACAATCTCAACAAAAAGTAGAGATTCGCAATCCCTCAATTTTGAGCGATTGTGGTGGGGCTTCCAAAAAGTGAATGCATGTATTCTAGTTCAATATAACCCAAAAAAACGACTTAATCTCACAAATACATGAATTAGCTCAATACACCATTTGAATTAGCTTAATCCCACCATCATTATTATGCTCTTGGCAATACCGGGATTACCTTCCTTCCGGATCAAAGTATACAAAGTAAAAAAAACAAATTGTATAACGGGAATTGGAAGAGAGAAAATGTGGAATTGGAATGAGGAAATCAATTAACTAGGGTATCAAGAGCTCTACAGAGGATTAATCAAATGATTAGATTAGGAGGACTGTAATCATATGATCAGATTAGGGCTATACGATCTAGTTCTGAAGCAGTTACCTATGAACAGAGACATCGAAAACCAGAGCTGCGCAACAACAAACGAGGAAGAAGAAAAAAACCAAGTAAAAAGATATTAACTAACTAAACTAAGCCAAAAGAATTCCTTGTCAGTGTTCATCGTTCACCAGCAACTCTATCATTCTCCTTGATTGATTGTTTTCGACTGGAACTCAGAACTATTCGCCAGAGTCCGGAGTAGCTCCGTCGGGACCAAGCACTTCTCTTCCGAATACAGCTTCTGCTGAATCACCGGCGACGTCACAAGCGCCCCCAGCTCGTTCGGCACCTTAATTGGTTCCTGTTATCGTTTTCAGATCTCAATTAATTATCTCTGACAAAAACCCAGAAAGCCAAACAGCAGAAAGTTAGAAGCTTTATTTTCCCCTTTTTGTTGGCAATACCTGAAGCGAGCCCATGGACTGAAGAATGCTGATTTGAGCCTCCAAGAACTTGACATGCTTGGCAGCAGCTTGGAACATATCAGCAGTATTCATCTTGTTCCCGCCAGGGATCAGCTTCCCTAGCTCCCGAGTCTTGTGCGTTATTCTCCTCCTCCTGTGCCTCGTAGCAATGCTCTGCGCCGACAAGGTTTCACCATTCCCATTGCTCTGTTTTTTGTTCACCTCCTCTGCTTCCTTGCCGCTCCTCCCAATGCTGAACCTCAGCGGCTCAGCTGGCGGTTCAAACTTCGGAATCGGCAACGGAACAGCTGGAATGTCACCCAGATAATCAACCGTCGGCGGAGCAGGAAACCCCGGGGAAGAGGGAAATGAGGTTGTGATTGTCCGAATCGAATTGGAACAGGGGCTCGGGAATTCCATAATCCTGAGGAGGGAAGAGGCAGTTGAATCGGAGCTGATCATGATCAAGTGCAATCATCTCTGCGTCCAATTCCGCCGACTCTGTTTTAATGAACGGCGAAAGTAGTGGGAAGGCGGCGGCGGCGAATTGGTAGTCCTCCTCGTCCTGCGGGGAATAGTTGAGAAAATGCATGCTGCTGATGGTAGCTGGAACACAAGCTTATGTTGGGCACAGCGGAAATATGGTGGTATTTTAGGATCGACAATATCGGAAGAAATTATTTCACTCCAATATTTAACAGAACAATCTCTTATAACTCTGACAATTCTTGTCGTTTACATGCGGCTCTTATACTACTATTGCTCTGCTTCTAGCCTTCTGCCCTCACAAACACTCAACCCATACATTTTCCCACATTTTGGATTAGGCAAGTTCATTGCCTTAACTTTTGAGAGGAGCCTATGCTCTCTAGCTCACTCTACCTTACATGCCTTAATAAGGCTTTCTATTTATAATGTCATCCCAAGGTCTCCACCGCCATAAGGAAAGCTCTCGACACAATAATGAATTAAGTGGGTAGCTTTGACATGTGGTTGTGTTTAGGCCAAGCTAGCTGGCGGCTAGAGTAGGGTATTTCTAGTTTAATCATTAAAGGTAGTTGGGTAGTTGGCTGCTGCATTTAGAGTTTTGTAGAATTATTGAGATAATTGTAGAATTGTGGATTAGGTATTTTGACACCCCCTCTTAATCCGCAATTCATGGTTGTGAATTTTAATCATCCTTGACGCACGAGAGTGAAATATGATCGATCTCTTCCTCTTGAGTGAAGTTTGCTTCTTCAACTTCTTGTTTCTTCTGGCACAAACAATCCTTTTGGGAGTGATTTGGGTTCCTGCACCTTTGGCACTTGAACTTGCAAAAATTTCCCGTGTGTCCTGTCTTCTGACAGATAATGCAGTACCTGTTGTAGTTGTCGTCGGATCTTCCTCTACGATCTTGCTCTAGCTTGATAGTCTTGGCTTCGGCAATGTTGACTGAAAAACTTGCTCCAGTGGTTGATCGGTAAATTTCCTCATTCTCTGCTCATGAGCGGCGAGTGAACCCATCAATTCAGTCATAAGTAGTTTAGACAAATCTTTTGTCTCCTCAATGACCGCCACGATATCCTTAAATTTTGGAGATAAACTGCGGAGAATTCTCTCCACAATCTTCCTTTATTCCATGATGTCACCAGTTGCTTTGATCTGGTTGACTATCTCTGCTGTACGAGAATGAAAGTCTTTGATACTTTCAGTCTCCTTCATCGACAAGTTGTCAAAATCACGCCATAAATTTTGGCGTTTGATGGAGATTGCCCGATGGTTGCCTTGAAATTCATTCTGCAAAACTTCCCACGCCTTTTTAGCATTTCTAATGCCAAAAATTTGAGGATATATAGCCTTGCTGACCGCCTGTTGAATTATTCGTAGGGTGTTGGCGTTCCTCCGGACATTCACCTTGTATTGCTTGAACTTTGCTTCTGACATTTTGCCAGATTCTTCCTCCGTCTTAACTTCCTCATAACCTTCTTAGACGATTTCCCACAAGTCTTGAGCAATGAAGATTGTCTCCATTTGTTCGCTCCAGTACTCTTAGAGTTCACCCTCGAATATGGGAATCTGGCTGGGGGTAATTACGAACATTGTGTTCGCCTGGACTGTTGCCATGATTTTTGGATTTTTTTGTAGGATATATGAGGCTGGTTTGGAAGGATAGGAAAGTAGTATCGGCTCTGATACCAAATTTATTGGGGTACAGCGGAAATATGATGGTATTTTAGGATCGACAATATCGGAAGAAATTATTTCACTCCAATATTTAACAGAACAATCTCTCATAACTCCGACAATTCTTGTCGTTTACATTAAGAGCTGCGGCTCTTATACTATTGCTCTGCTTCTACCCTCACAAACACTCAGCCCATACATTTTCCCACATTTTGGATTAGGCAAGTTTATTGCCTTAACCTTTGAGTGGAGTTTGTGCTCTCTAGCTCACTCTACCTTACATGCCTCAATGAGGCTTTCTATTTATAATGTCATCCCAAGGTCTCCACCGCCATTAAGTGGTAGCTTTGACATGTGGTTGTGTTTAGGTCAAGCTAGCTGGCGGGTAGAGTAGGGTATTTCTAGTTTAATTATTAAAGGTAGTTGGGTAGTTGGCTGCTGGCATTTAGAGTTTTGTAGAATTATTGAGATAATTGAAGAATTGTAGATTAGGTATTTTGAAACCCCCTCTTAATCCGCAATTCATGGTTGTGAATTTTAATCACCCTTGACGCACGAGAGTGAAATATGATCGATCTCTTCCTATTAAGTGAAGTTTGCTTCTTCATCTTCTTGATCATCTTCTTGTTTCTTCTGGAACCAACAATCCTTTTGGGAGTGATTTGGGTTCCTGCACCTTTGGCACTTGAACTTGCAAAAATTTTCCGTGTGTCCTGTCTTCTAACAGATAATGGAGTACCTGTTGTAGTTGCCGTAGGATCTTCCTCTACAGTCTTGCTCCGGCTTGGCAGTCTTGGCTTTGGTCATGTTGACTGTTGACTGAAAAACTTGCTCCAGTGGTTGATCGGTAAATTACCTCATCCTCTGCTCATGAGCGACGAGTGAACCCATCAATTCGGTCATTGGTAATTTAGACAAATCTTTTGTCTCCTCAATGACCGCCACGATATGCTCAAATTTTGGAGATAAACTGCGGAGAATTCTCTCCACAATCTTCCTTTCTTCCATGATGTCACCAGTTGCTTTGATCTGGTTGACTATCTCTGTTGTATGAGAATGAAAGTCTTTGATACTTTAAGGCTCCTTCATCGACAAGTTGTCGAAATCACGCCATAAATTTTGGCGTTTGATGGAGATTGCCCGATGGTTGCCTTGAAATTCATTCTGCAAAACTTCCCACGCCTTTTTAGCATTTCTAATGCCAAAAGTTCGAGGATATATAGCCTTGCTGACCGCCTGTTGAATTATTCGTAGGGCATTGGCGTTCCTCCGGATAGGGGTGGACAAACGGTTCGGTAAACCCGAACCGAACCAAAACCGAATTAAACCGAACCGAACCCAAATTAATGCTATTTGGTTCAAAATTCGGAAGAAAAATATGGATAGTTTGGAAATTATGGTTCTTTCAACCGAACCGAATTTCCTACCAAAAAACCAAAATACTATAATTGAAAGCTCCAAATGGTGGATTTTTATGTTTGTAGTTGTTTTTAGACTTAAATATTTGAAATGTTTTATGACTTATGTGTTGAAAAGTTTTGGTTTTATTATTGATGATGCATATAATTGATATTTATTGTTTATATTAGGGGTGAAAAATAATTTAAAAGTGAGGAAATACAAGTAGCTTCACAAATTCGGTTTTGTGTGAAAAACCAAACTGAACCAAATTATAGTTCGGTTTAAACGGATCGAACCGAATTATAATTCGGTTCGAATTCGGTTTGAGGTTTGGGAGAATTCGGGGACCCGGTATTCATAATTTCGGTTCGATCGAAACTGAACCGACCGAATGCCCACCCCTACCTCCGGACATTCACCTTGTATTGCTTTAACTTTGCTTCTAACATTTTGCCAGATTCTTCCTCCGTCTTAACTTCCTCATAACCTTCTTGGACGATTTTTCACAAGTCTTGAGCAATGAAGATTGTCTCCATTTGTTCGCTCCAGTACTCGTCGAGTTCACCCTCGAATATGGGAATCTGACTGGGGGTATTTACGAACATTGTGTTCGCCTGGACTGCTGCCATGATTTTTGGATTTTTTTGTAGGATATATGAGGCTTGTTTGGAAGGATAGGAAAGTAGTATCGGCTTTGATACCAAATTTGTTGGGGCACAGCGGAAATATGGTGGTATTTTAGGATCGACAATATCGGAAGAAATTATTTCACTCCAATATTTAACAGAACAATCTCTCATAACTCCAACAATTCTTGCCGTTTACATTAAGAGTTGCGACTCTTATACTATTGCTCTGCTTCTACCCCTCACAAACACTCAGCCCATACATTTTTCCACATTTTGGATTAGGTAAGTTTATTGCCTTAACCTTTGAGAGGAGCCTATGCTCTCTAGCTCACTCTACCTTACATGCCTCAATGAGGCTTTCTATTTATAATGCCATCCCAAGGTCTCCACCGCCATAAGGAAAGCTCTGGACACAATAATGAATTAAATGGGTAGTTTTGACATTGTTTGTGTTTAGGCCAAGCTAGCTGGTGGGTATAGTAGGGTATTTCCAGTTTAATTATTAAAGGTAGTTGAGTAGTTGGCTGCTGCATTTAGAGTTTTGTAGAATTATTGAGATAATTGTAGAATTGTGGATTAGGTATTTTGACAACTTAAACCTGCTGCCATGGCGCCAAAGTGGGGAAATGCGGGGGGCTGTTGGCCTTTCCAAATCCCCCTTGCCGCCGGCGACAACACATCCCCTCCCCACTCGATTCCGCTATGATGATGCGAAAATCCACGAGTAGATGCGGTACTCAGCTCCTCTCCGACAAGAAGCGGGTGGGGCGGCCGGAGGATTGGCAACTGAGAGAAGAAGAAGAGGAAGGGGAAGCGTTTATAGGGCAAGAATCAGTGGGCAGTGGCTGGTTTGTGGCTGAGAGAATTTAGGAGGAAGGAGAAGGTGAAGAAGGTGACTTGATGACTCGATATTTGCACATGTTTTCCCCTTTGTTTCTTGATCGTTTAAGCTTGCATTATCGCTTCTTTGGCCTATTTTTCGCTAGGTTGTGTTCCTTTGTTACATTTCAGGTCCTAGCACATAAAGTGAAGCATAGGCGCAAGTTTCAAGTCAATCAGAGATCAATTGACTATTCGGGAGAAGAAACTCGGGCATGACCTGAAGAAGAATGGATTTATACCTCACTTTATGGACAAATAATAATGCAAGTTTGTTATGAAAAGAAAGAGGACGAGACTACGAGCGTCTGGAGATCAAACGGCGACTGATTCGGAGTCCGGACGAGGGAGAAACAAAGCATTGAATATAGAGGAACAGGTTCGGCAGTAAAAACACGGGCTGGCCTAAAGAAAAACACGGCCGTGTCCATATTTAGGCACGACCGTGTTTTGGCCGACGAGGGCTGCTGGGGGCAAAACACGGGCTGGCAAAAGTAAAACACGGCCGTAGCCTCGACCGTGTTTTGCCCAGAATCGTGTTTTTGAGGCAGATTGAAGCCAAAGGAAAGAAAGAGCTGGGTTTTGGATCCCAAACACCCAAGGGACGAACAAAAGAGAGAGAGGGAGATTTGAGGGCATTCTTGGAGTGAAATTGGAGGATTTCTTTGCTTTGGAAGCTCGAGGAACAAGCCCGGACTTGAAGACTGATTATCTGAAGATTCTTACTGCAGTCTCTCTCTTCTCTATGGAGTAACTTCCCTTCACTTAGGTTTTGAAGAACCCTAGCTATGTTTGTTTGATTAGATGATTGTATGAGTACTCCTACTTGATAATCTTGAGTTCATATTCAATCTATGCATGTTTTCATGATTCAATTCTGCTTTAGTCGAGATTATTGATTATGCTTTGATCCTATGAGAGCGAATACCTGATTAGGTCAATAGAGCACCATAGATTGATAGCATTGGATCGATTGCTTTAGTCGAGTGTTGATTCAATGCTTTGTATCGATTGAGAACCTCATTCGATAGAGGGAATCTAGTTCAGAACGCCTTGATCGGTTGTTCTAGAGAAGGATACGTCCCTCTAGGTAATTGACTCAAGAGGGCCTTGTTCCTTTAGTCGAGACTCAAGGTCTAGTTAAGGATTCTCCGCATTGTGAATGAAAGTGAAACAGGTTAGAGATCATCAATCATTAATCTGGCTAGTGGCTAGGGGGAATCATACCTAAGTGAGTTCCCAACCTGTAATTAGATTAACTTTAACTGTAGTTTGCTAGAGTAGTTTTAGTTGTTCTATCTTAATCTGGTTTGCTAGATAATGAACTGAAGCTGAGTAATAGTAACTCTAGAGACCCGTGGATTCGATATTTATTACTTGAGCCACTATACTGCAGTCCCTTTCATTGGTTACATTTGGCCTTTGTTAGGAGTTGTGTCATAGCGAGTCATGACTCTCTTTCCTTCTTATGTTATGCACTTTTTTTCAACAAATGAAGTTTGAAACAAATTCCACCCTGGTATTCCACTTAGATGAGACATGGTCACGTCACAAGCTACCGTTTTTCCAGTCAGCAATTGTGGCATAACCGTTAAGTTTATAGGCAAAATGGCTATATCTGTGTACTTTTCATAAAATGGCTACTATTGTTATAACGCAAATAGTTATAGCTATGGAAGTGTATTATGCCTTATTTATTTGCTTCCTCTTTTAGGCTAACCGGTTAGGGCTTGTTACCAACTGAGATATGAACTTCATATTTATCGGGTTAGGCCCATATCGACCAAGTATCCGCCTAGGATCCTACTCGTTACTCGAGTGTTTCGGGAATTTCTCAAAGTACACACGTTATTATAAAAAAAATCTTTGTATATAATAGTTCTCTAAGATATTATCAAACTTTTGGTACAAATTATTTTAAACTAAAGTAATTTGTAAAAATCACTTGAAATATGACAAATCAATGACAGATCGTGTGAGACCTTAGCAATCTGCAACATATTGCACAAAGATTGTTTGAGACTTCAGCGATATGTGACAGATTGTTTGAGACCTTAGCTATCAATATGTTATCTATGGGGAAAAAATCAATCGACGGTAACTTTGTACTCGGTTATCTTATCAGCGTAAAAAATTATATTTCATAACTTTATCGAGATTTACGCAAATGCAACAATCCAAAGTGGTTTGTTCGACTTTCATCTCCAAATAAGGTCATTTGTTGCCTCAAATAAGTCATTATGTGATTTCACGTTACTTTGGACGGTGTTAACTTAGTGATTCCCCCTAGTTCGTCGTTAGGTCGATGTTGTTTACTTCCCTAGACCAATTGGCTAGATACTTTTATTGCAGAGAGTCGTAGAGTAGTTTGGAATCTCTACTAAAGCAAACCAAGCCCTCTTAACATAGGCTACTCGGCGAGAGGCTTAGTATAAATAATAAACAATAAATATAGGGTATTGACTTTTTTAGATTATTTTTTATTAGTCAAACCTGTCAAAATACTAAAAATTAGTCAAATATTGTGTTACACGTCCAAGTAATAGCCATTAATCCGTTACCGTTAACTATTTTTAACGGTGCTCCACCTCAACTGCCACCTCATCAATGAATAAAATAAAATTGGGTAAACACTCATTATTAGCCAAAGCTTTCTGGCATTCTTTTTTATTAGCCAAACCTATTGAATTACTAATAATTGACCAAATCTTTTGTAATGCATCAAAATATTAGTCATCTATACGGTATCATTAATAATTTTGTACCTTTTTCATAATTAAAATACTAAAATTTTGGAATGTTGACTTCCATATGACTCTTCCAAGCCAGTGTCATGCTGCCAATTCAATATTACTAACAAAATTGCAATCTGGAAGTTAACATTTGGCCAATTATTAGTAATTCATAGGCATGACTAATAAAAAAGAATGCGGAAAAGTTATCAATGGTTGACCGGCTGATGTGACATTTTTTGACTGTCATGTCAGAATATTTCTTCCAACTCAGTGCCACATTTGATAGCTCCCCATCATCAAACGGAAAAGTTAACGGAGATTTAATGTTTGGTTAATAAATAGTATTCTAATAGGTTTGGATAAAATAAAAAAATCCAGAAAAGGTTTGATTAATAAATAGACGTTATTCTAAAATATATATGTACGTCATGGCTAGGGGTGTGCAATGGTACGTTATTCTAAAATATATATGTAGGTCCACATGAATTTTATAATTACTAAAGAAATGATGGACTGAGCTAATATTTGGACCAGACCTGTTGGGGGTACTACCCATCAGCCATTGTGCTGGGCCTCCAGGCAAAAGAATTGGGGGGCAAGGCCCACGAAGGGGTTGGTGAAGCATCCCTAGGCCCCAAGTGAGATGAGGGGCGCATGAGGACAAAACACTAAAAGCCAAAGGAGGCCAGGTTGTCAGGTGGTCCACAGCCGACAGGCGCCTGCCAGTGCGTCAGAAGCCTGACAAGGTGGTTGAGATATCTGACAAGGAGGGTACAAGGCATTAAATGGAGACAGTGACGTGGAGGAGATCAACCTCGAGCTCGGTGAGTATAAATAGGAGCAGTTGGTAGCTTTTACACGGGTTGGACTCTCTCACTAGAATTCCTATTTCGGGACACTTCCCTCTCTAAGGAACTAACTTGGGCGTCGGAGGATTAACGGGCCCAGGCGCCCTCCTCTTTATGTGTGTGTGTAGGCAGGCGCCAGGCGAAGTGAAGTTTCAGGAGAATCGGCGGGTATCGTGGCTCAAACAATTGGCGCGCCAGATAGGGGAGTATAACCAGGAGTCATGAGTGAGGAGACGTCAATGAATGATGAAAGAGAAAGAGAGGAGATTACGGAGGACCAGTCGGGGCGGATTAGGGGGCTGACGCCCGAGATGGAAGAAGGTGAGGAAAGCGATGGCATGTTCTGAGGGTCGGAAGCCGCCTCGGTGACGAGGAAAGAGCTGTTTAGAATCATCGAAGACCAAGACGGAGCGATTGAGGCGCTTCGAAGGGAGATCGATGCTTTAAAAAGGGGCGGAGGGATGACGCCCAGCCC